CAATGAGTTCAAAGCCAGACTGGTCTCTAAATGGGGTTTTAGGCCAGTCGAGGCTACATAGTGATCCTGTCTCTAAACAAAACAAAACAAAAACAGACAACAACAAAGGTCTCCGTGGATATGAATTACCATAGCAAAACCTATTTACTTTATATTACAAATACTTTTAAAACTTCCTACTATGAGCAAGTCTCTTAAATGGTACTAAATAAGAGAAGCCGACATGACGTCTACCTTTCAACTTAGGGTTCAGGATGCTGATAAGATACGCACATGAGGAGTGATGATACAAATATAGACAAGCATTAGAGACGGTGATTTCCTTCCTAGAAAGTCACTTTGGAGATGCATGGCTAAGAGGGGGACAAGCCATTCGAGGAGTCAGGAGTAGCGTGTGCAAAGGTAGGAAGTGAGGAAGCTTTGGGTCACTGTTTGCTCGGACCAAAAGCTATTGAAGAAGACAAGTGGGGATGAGCTTGCACGACGGAGACAGCTCCGTTCAAAGTGCATCTGAACACGGAGCTCGGCACTGTAGGTTTTGTTCGGTGGGCGATGGGAACCGTGTTGCAATGGGTAGTACAGCTGCACCTTCTAACAGCTTCTTTACAATACGAAATGTGGCATTGTGTGGAGGAGGCTGGAACCCGAAATACAGCGCGGGAGGTGGGAGGAGGTGGGAGGTAGAACAGGGAAAGGCTCTGCTTGGGAAATGTATGCAAGTACATGAATAAAAAGAAAAGCAATGTCTGAAGGGTAATTTAATTTACATTTTTCCCTCTAGACCTGTTTTCCAACCTGTCTAGCAGCAAAGAGAGTCAGGCAACACGGCAGGTACCGCCAAGCAGGAGAAAGAAGTGAGGTCATTTCTTAAGGAACTGGCTCTATCGCTGAGTTTCAGGGAGGCTAAGGGGGAGCGGGGAGCTGCAGGGGGAAGCCTCTCTGCTCAGATGGGTGATTCTCGGCGTGTTTGCTCTCAGTGGAAGCCTGCCCCCATCAAGTGTTTAGAGCCAACTAGGAAGAGAGCCAACAAGGGTGCAGAGCTGCAGGGGAGCCATGTAACCCACTAAGCAAAGTACCAGGTCCTCCTCCTTCCAACTGAATAGTAAGGAGCTAGCTTCCCCCCTAAGTGGAAGCAAGGGATCCTGATTGCTTCCAAGGGAAACGACTGGTTTTCGGTGGAGAAACCTGACCAGCACCGTGCAAAGCCCTGTCGCTAACTGTATCCTGATGTGACATGTGGAGGATGGAAGTTTACCTCTGCGGTCTTCATCCCTAGGTCCCATGACTTAAAATACCCGTGGTGGAGGCATCAGAGAAACCGCAATGGCAAGACATTCCACAACATACCTAAGTAGTACATTTCAACACCGTCAAGGTCATCAAAGATAAGGACAGCTGGAGAAATTAAGAGCCAAGAGGAGCCCCGGGAGACATGTAGTACAGCACGTCCTGAGGATTCCTGGGTGGGAGCCGTCAGGGAAATGGTCAAAGTCTAGACTATGTACTTCAGCTAATGATACTGCATAATTGTCCTCGTTAAGAAGTGCACCGCAGTATTAGGAGACATTAATAATAAATAAGCCTTGTGTGAGGCCTATGGAACCCACTGTGCTATTTTAATAACTTTTCGGCAACTCTAAAACTATCCCAAAATAAGCTTATTGAAATTTTAAGCGAAAAGTGAATTGTTTATTAGTCACTTGGAGCAAAGCAAGAGCGTGGAAAATAATTAGAAGAACAGGTCTCACAGAACACGGAGGCGGTGGCGTTTTAAAAGTCAGTACCCTGAGAGGGAATTTAAGCTACTGTATCCACCAAATAAGAACAGCGTGCTCTTAAAAGGGAACAGTGTAGGGCCGGGGAGATAGCTCAGTCGGCAATGCACTTGCTGTACAAGCATGAGGAGCAGAATTTGGATCCCCAGTATCAGTGTGGAACAGGAATGGTGACCCACCTATAAAGCCAGCATATACACATGAGTCCATATGGATATGAACACACACACACACACACACACAAACACACACACGGGCTCTTTCAAGGAAAAATAGCAGGAGGATGCAGTCTGAGGATCAACAACTGCCCTTCACTACTAAGGCAAAGACAGCTGGCTCATAGGGAAGGATAAGTGCAGATCAGTTCACATAGTCACGTAGCTATCAGGACACATTCAGAAAATAAATATAACTGAGCTGGGCATGGCAGTGCATATCTGTAATCCCGCCACATGGAGGGTGGGGGCACCAGGATCTGGAGAATCCAAGGCTAGCCTGAACAACACAGTACCATCAAGGCTATCCTGACCATCACTGTACGACCTGCCTCAAAAACAAAAACAAGAACCAAAGCTGTCTCCAAAGAGATGGGTGTGTCGCCCTGGGGTGGAGAACTTGCCTAGCATGCTCAAGACCCTGGGCTTGATCCCCGTCCAGCCCTTAAACAAATGTTATTCTAGCAAATCACTGCCTTGCAGGGAACGCAGGGAACGTGTTTACACAACCACCATAATAAACTAGATTAACTTTCAACATTCCTAGCCATCTCTAGACAGCACTTGGAATATTATTTTGCAGCATAGAGTGAGGTAATAAACTATGGAAAATAGAGTAGAAGTTCTTCCGATTAGATTTGGAAGGCCGGAAGTGGAAGGAGAGACCGTGAAAGGTGGGATGGTACAGCACACATCTGTGTCAGGAGCGGTGATTGAGATAATGCCAGTGAAGTAAGAAACCATCTTAAACGTACTCTCAAAGCAAACAGATCCAGGATATGGCTCCACCGTGGGAGTGCTTACCTAGCGTTCAGGAAGCCCTGGGCTTGATCCCCAGCACTGTGTCAACTGGGCATCATGGTGCATACTTGTACTCCCAGCACGTGGGAGGTGGAGGCAAGAGGATCAGAAACTCAAGGTCATCCTTGGCTACGTAGTGAGTTCGAGGCTGGCCTGAACATCGAGGCTGGCCTGAACAATGTGAAGCTCTCTGCAAATCCCAAAACAGACAGACAGACAGAAGGCTAGTAAAGAACCAACAGTAAAATGAAATTTTCAACGTTGGAAGAAGAGGCCATGGATTTAAGTGACCCCAAATTCTCATTTTATAATGGAATGGCTTCAGACACTACACCAGTGAAAATAACTTCAGACACCAAGGGATTCTGAGCCCAACCAATAGTGTCTATTAGCAAGGGTTAGGATGGCGTATATGACAACGGCCAGTGGACAGTTTTGGCCGGACTCTGGTGCATTGGCAAATGACAGAACTTACTACAAATGGACCACAGAGGGTGGGGACAGACCAATAAGTTCTACTCCCAAACTGGAGCAACTGATGCCCATTCAAATGTAAACTCATAAACACAGCAAGGCAGAAAGAGGGCAGCAAGCGGAGCCTCTGCCTCTCAGGACCCAGGTGGGAGCCCTGGACTTCCCGAGGCCAGCTGTGTCTGCTTCTTCCTGCACAGCGCTCATCTCCCACCTGACACAAACCTGGAAAGATGGGGCGCAGCCAGTCCTCCCCTGTGCAATACCCCTCCAGAGACACCCATCCAGAGCATATTTGCCTGGGCTCCCGGGCTCCATCTCATCCTCTGGCACTCACCACAGGACTTAACACCATCGTCCACTTACTCCGTACCCTCTCCCCGCTGGGCATAGGTGACTCGGTCTTCCCTGATTCGTCCTCCCACTTATCTGCCTCTCGTTTCTGAATGTTCACTTCCTCCAAACATCTACCCTTGAGTGGACACTGGCTCTCGTGTGAGCTGTACTCCCCCGTGGCTGTGACCACATGGCCATGAAGGAAGAGACTTCCCCTTCCCCCAACCAGATAACAGATCAGGTTTTGGTCTTTATATGGAGTATCTCTGGCACAGCGGAGTCTTGGAAAGCCCAGGGCTCCAGGACAGGCCCTACGATCCAAAAACTCTGTTCTACTGTCTTCTAAAAATCACATCTGGTGGGAAGACAGGAAAGGAAGACAAAAAATGTTTGTCATTTGGGGGCATGTACATTTTGCTGGCATCTGAGCAACACAGACATCTCAGTAGATGGTGTAACTATCTCCCATCCCCCCTTTTTAGTTTACTTTTGTGCAGGTGTGTTTGTATGTATACATATGTGAAGGTCGAGGTCGACATTGGCATCTTCCTCAGCTGCACTCTGCCCTATTTTTTTGAGTCAGAGACTCTCTTCGACCTGGAGTCCACCGATTTGGCTAGCCTTGCAGGTCAACAACCCAGAGATCTTTCTGTCCCTGCCTCCCTAATATTGGAATTGCAGTCAGGCACTACCATGTGCTGGGGATCTGAACTCAGGTCCTCACACTCATGTGACTCCAACACTTTACCAACTGAGCCATCTCTTCAGTCCCATTGTACTTGTTAAAACAAACGCTTGACTTCTTGGGTTCTTGAGGACAGAACCTTCTGAACAGTTTATGGTCACGTGGCTATCCACCTTTAAGGAAGACAATTCAAATATGACCAATCTAACTTCCAAGAGTTGCTATGACAACCAGGTGCATGCTAGATGGTATATAACCAACAGAGAAGTCCTAAATGAGGGGTCCAGTTCAGACAGGATCAAATGTCCACTCAAGGATAGATGCTTGGAGAACATGTACATTTAGAAGTGGAAGCAGAAGGAAGAGATGGAGCAGGGACGTGTTCGTTATCATGGTACTGGGGAAGATCCTCCAGGCTTCTCCCCGGCCCACTTGGTTTTCATTGTCACCCTGATCTCCACCTTCATCCTGCATAGCCATGCTTGTGTGTGCCCATGCCCAAGTCCCTGGATTTCATGAGGACCTCATCTGCATGGTGTTGAGGGTTACCCTATTCTACAATGGGGGCTATCCTACCCTACAATGGGCTCACCCTTATGTTAATATCCACAGTGCCTGACTCCAGATAAGGCCATGCTCTGGGCCCTGGGGCCTGATGTGGATTTGGAGGGTGACATTTTGGAGGGTACCTAACTCGCTGTCTCCCTCTGACCTCAGCAGTGCCACGACAAGTGGAGGTGAAAATGAGCGCGAGGAGCTAGAGCCGGAGTGGAAGCCCCCGGATGAGGAACTCATCAGGAAGTTGGTAGATCAGATCGAGTTCTACTTTTCGGATGAGAACCTGGAGAAGGACGCCTTCCTGCTCAAGCACGTGCGGAGGAACAAGCTGGGCTACGTGAGCGTCAAGCTGCTCACCTCCTTCAAAAAGGTGAGGCTGGTCTCTCAAAGGCTGCTCAGGGCATTTCCGGGGTGTGGACACCTTGTGACGTTAAACATTGTTCTGTTGTTTTGTGCTCCACCCCAGCCCCAGCCATGGACCCTCCTGCCCAGCAAATTTTTTTAATTAATTATGATACCCTAAAAAGAGAAAAATTATCAAGAGAAGGGATTTAATGGTGCTAAGGAGCTAACTCAGGCAATAAAGTGTTTTTCGTGTAAGCATGAAGGCCTGAATTTGATCCCCAGAACCCACATATAAAAGCCAAGCTTGGTTCCATGTCTGTAATTTCAGAGCTGGGGAGGTAGAAAAAGATCTGTGGGACTAAGGGGGGAAACCAACTTAGCCTACTGGGTGAGCTGTATGCCAATGAGAGTCCCTGTCTTGAAGATAGATAGATAGATAGATAGATAGATAGATAGATAGATAGATAGATAGATAGATAGATAGCAAAGCGGATGGATCCTGAGAGGAATGACACTCAGGAGTGACATCTGATTCCCACATTTATGCATGCGCGCGCGCGCACACACACACACACATACACACACACACACACATCAGGGTTATGAGAGCATTTGCATTCTTAAGAATATACTTGCATGCTACGTAAAGGGTTCTGGGTGCCAGGACAAATCTCAGCTGGTGATTATTAAGAAGTGCTAATACTTGCTCTCAGTAAAACTGCGGTCCTCTTGCGAGGCAATGGATGCCCAGAGGGTGCTACGCCAGAACAGGGGTCCTGGAGCCCTCCAGAGATGCCTATCAGTCTAGAACTGCCCTGACACTCGTTCAAGCTTTCCACTTGATGATCGGAGTCAGTATGGAATGGGAGAGAACACACAGAACTCGATGAGAAAGTCCTCCTCCGTGACTCCAGCATGCTCCACTCTGTGTGATACTGAAGGGAACTCTGTGTACCAGAGTGACAGATGCCGAGGGTGCAGCCACGCAGGAGACTGTCTGTCTCTGCTGTGGACAGAAGCAGAACTTGGACCCTAAACTCCCTGCTCTCAGAGGATTGACTAACCAGTTGGAATGATAAGTCTTTATCTCCCTTGAGGGGAGTGTGTTTACTAGAATGGAGAAGCTCCATGCAGCCTGTTGCATAACAGCTTATGTAAGGAGTGGGTCCACGTAAGGAGTGGGTCCTGGCCAAGATGTCTGTGCACTTTATGAGAGAGCACTGGGGAAGAGCTCCGCACCTTGGCGCTCATCTCTGCCTGGTTCTCTGGTACACTCTGCCCTTTCCTTGGGCTCTTTTTCTTTTATTCATTTACCAAACATATTCTTCTTTGTATTTGATGAGTGTTGTGCTAGGTGCAAGGGGTACAAAGTAAATATGGTGTTGTCTTTCTTTGAAACACAGTCAAACAAAAGAAAAGAGATCCATGAAATGCAACAGGGTGATCCCAGACAAAGTGATGGAAGACATAAAGATATCTGGGGACTAGCTGATGTCTAGTTGATGTCATTGCTGGCCAGAGCGATGAACCTTGTCTACAGAATGGAGATGTCGTCTTTGAGTGGTGGCACTGGGATATGATCTTGGAGGAGGAATAGGAGCCACAAGGTCCAGATGGGAAGGAATGCTCTGTGTCCAGAGCACAAGCTCTGACATGGAAAACACATTCAGGGTTGGGGAAAAAGTCAATGGGACCTTCTGCACAGCCCCCCCCATTGTGCTCCCCAAGGGCTTCGAGAGCCACCTTGGTTTTCTCTTCTTTCCTAGCTGCCACTTACAGATCCACTCAGGAGCCTTCTCTCTTTAAAGCCACACGGTGGACACCCCAAATTCAGACTCTTTCCCCTCTAGACAGCTTCTTGCTAATCACAACAAGAAACATCAGAGGAAGGCAACGAACACGGGAACATCACAAAGCCTTAGTTCCTTTTCTCATCACTGTGACAGAATCCCTGACAAATGCAGCAAAAGGCTTTGGGTCACCATTGAAGGTGCACCCCATCATGTCAAGGAAGGTCTGGCAGCAGGAGTGTGAGGAGCTGCTCACACAGCACCCACAATAAAGAGGCAGGGAGGGGTCAGTGCTGCAGCTTGGCTTGCTTTCTCTTTTTTTGTACAGTTGGGGATTCTGGCCCTGAGATGGTACTTCCCACGTTTAGGCTTATATCCCCCTGCAGTTAAATCTTTACCCAAACATCCTCACAGACACATCCAGAGGTTTGTTTCTGTAGAAAGTCTCAGCCTAGTCAGGTTGACAATGATGGTCAATCATCACACAGAGTTTCTGACAGTCTTATAATGTGTTAGAGATTGCACAGGTCGAACTTCTTCCTTAAAAGAAAACCAGTTTATGTGAGTATGTGTTAGTGTGTGTATGTGTATCGTATGTATGCAGAACCCTCAGAGTCCAGAGGAGGGCGTCAGGTCCTCTGCAACTGGAGTTATAGACTGTTGGCAGCCATCATGTGGGTGCTGGGAGTTGATTTCAAGTCCTCTACAAGAGCAGCTAGAGCCCTTCACTGCTGAGCCATCTCTCCAGCCGCCTGGTTCCCTTTCTGCTGTGATATCGGAAACTATCATAAAGCATCAGAGACACAAACCTGAGATACCCATAGAGTAACCAGAGTTTTCCAGGGGACCTGGCTCTTGCCTCTGTGTGTTTCCCAGCCATCTATAGCTCTCTTCTCTGGTAGTACATGGTCCTCCCAAGTTCTCACCCTTCCAGAGAAGGTAGCACATGCTTCCATGCTCCGACTTCAAGCTTGGGAGGAGTTTCTTTGCCTTTCCGGTGTGCTTCCTTTCCAGCTGTCTTCACAGATAGCTCCATCATGCCAAACCTTGGCTTTCCTACAACTTCAGAGTGCCCTTCATCCATTTTAACCCCTTCTGGATTCCCAATTGACTGACAGTTCACTAGAAAGCCAGCCAAAGGCCCGGGCCTGCTTCTCTGTACCATAGTGATCAGCCCAAGGACTCTGTAGGTAACCTAGGTTTCTTCAGGCTGATAACAAGAGGCCGCAGGCCAGAGTGGACAGTGCACAGGCTCCAGAAGTGTGTCAGTCAGTACTTGGGACTCTGTGGATGTTTCCCTGACCTGCCCAAGTAATAAGCCTTCTTTTCTTACTTTCTGTGCCTTTTCTATTTGAGGCACAGGGGCACAGGGAGTTCCTGGTTCCTCTGCAGATCAGCTTCTTGGGCCTGGCCTCAGAGGACTCTGGGTGATTTTCCCATCCAGGCTCGGGTTACCCACCCCACCCACATCCACCAGTTCTCTGGAATGGCTCATCTCCCTGGCACACCCTTCACTAGAAGTGGGTCTCCGCAAAATTGCTGCTTTATGAAATAAATACAGCTTTTCATATACTGCAGCATTGATATACAGTTTCCATCATGGAAGAGAAAGGGAAGAGTTGTTTCATCATTTTTTCAAAAGGGCCAGGTCGATGTAATTCCGCATCATGTCTGTGCCTGTTACTCTTGGGGGAGATTGCAGCAGAACGGGGAAGATCTTCAAGAGGCTTCTCTTCATCAGCAGTTCATCACAGCTTCAAAAAATGTCAGACCCTCCAAATGCTTTCAAAGTAGCAAGCAGCACTTCGGTGGTAACTACTTCCAGTCCTAGCATTTTGGAGACCTAGACTGGAGGGGTCATGAGTTTGAGTGCAGCCTGAGCTATAGAGTGAAGCCCTATCTCAAAGAAGCAGAAAAAAAATCTGGGCTGGGGCTATAGCTCACAGAAGACTGCTCGCCTGACATTCTGTATTCAGTCCCCAGTACTGCCCAAAACTCACTAGTGACATACATATTTGAAACAATGGTAGCACATTGTTATTGAGTATTCTTGGAGAGTGAACTGCTATTTTAAATTTTGTGTACAAATATGTCTCTCTCAGTCTTTGCTGTTCATTTAACCCATGTGTGTATGTGTGTGTGAGTGCACGCATGTGCAAGTGTGATATGTAGTAGCTGGAGATTAATCTGAAGTATCATTCTTCAGAAGCCAACCACTTTATTTTTTGAGCCAGGGTCCCTCCCTGCCTGGAACTGGCTGAGTGGTGGCTGGATGGCAAGCCTGTCTCTGATTCCCCTTTGTTGGCATTATGTTATCCTGCCTGGCTTTATTACATGGGTTCTGGGAGTCAAACTCAAATCCTCATGCTTACGTGACAAACACTTTATTAACGGAGCTATCTCCCAAATCCTCTTTTATCTTTGTGACAGTGATGAGAAGTAGACATTTATAATAAATATCTCTAGCGCTCAGATGAGGAGGTTGGATCCTGAGAGGATAAGTCATTTTCCGAGTCTTCTTAGTGGATGGTGGCGAGGCTTGGGTCTACGAACACAGCAGCTTTGTTCTAGAGAGCACAGAATCTGACCTGTGAACTTGGGAGAATGTCTACTGTCATGTACTCCACGGCCCAGCACTGCTCCAAACCCACCTATCCTGATCTGAAGCTGAAGAAATAAGGGCTGGGGCTGTAGCTCCATGCATGATGCCCTAGGTTCAATCCCCAGTACTGTAGATGATACTACTACTACTACTACTACTACTAATAATAATAATAATAATAATAATAATAATAATAATCTGAATAGAGACCAAAGCTTCTGGGTTTAGTCACTATAGCAAAGACTTGAAAACAATCAAGGCTGCCCACCAACAAAATGGATAATGAAATATCTGGTATATGTGTGTATAGGTACACACACACAGACACACACACACATCCATATATATATACATATATATATATATATATGAATACTGCTCAGCTCTAAAGAAAACAATGTAATCAACATTTGCAGGAAAGGGGATGATCTTAGAATGTATAGTATCAGTGACATCACAGTCTCAGAAAGGAAAGATGTCCTCTCTCATATGCAGAATCTAGCCAATAGCAAATGTATATATGTGAGCAAAGACGCTGTGAGTGAAGTATAATGCATGAGAAGGGAGCAGGAGAGGCTGCCTGTTAGGATGGTGATGGACCTGATGCAGGCGGTGGACATGGGTTATGAAAGAGGAGCTAAAGCTGCTGACTATTCAAGTGCTAACTCTTCTGTGGATTCTTCGGTTTGAGTGGCGGATAGCTGTGTGAATCACATTTGATAGTAAAAGTATAAAACCCAGTGTGCAGTGCCACCGCTTCAGAATAGCTATTCTAAGCACTCATTGAGGTATGTAGACTTTGGGTTTGGTTCATTTCGGTGTGTGATATTTTTTTGAAATTTTTATAATGAAGTTTATTAAACATTTTTTAAGGAAAGAAACCACTGAAGATGTGGTTGGAGAACATTTTCGTTTACTCATTCTCTGACTGGTATTTGAGTGTCTCCCACACCAGGTATGACTCTAGTCATCGGTGTTATGGAGGCGAGGAAGGAAGGAGGAGGGTGTAGTGCATACAAGTGTGGAAAGGAGAGGAGGTACCAACTCAGACCTGCTTTGTGTTCTTTAGGTGAAACACCTCACGCGGGACTGGAGAACCACAGCACATGCCTTGAAGTATTCGGTCACCCTGGAACTGAATGAAGACCATCGGAAAGTTAGGAGGACCACGCCTGTGCCGCTGTTCCCCAATGAGAACCTCCCCAGCAAGATGCTGCTGGTGTATGATCTACACCTGTCCCCCAAGCTATGGGCCCTGGCCACGCCCCAGAAGAACGGAAGGGTGCAGGAGAAGGTGATGGAGCACCTGCTTAAGCTCTTTGGGACATTCGGAGTCATCACATCGGTGCGGATCCTCAAACCTGGCAGAGAGCTGCCTCCTGACATCCGGAGGATCAGCAGCCGATACAGCCAGGTGGGGACCCAAGAGTGTGCCATTGTGGAGTTCGAGGAGGTGGAGGCCGCCATTAAAGCCCATGAATTCATGGTCAGTGAATCGCAGGGCAGGGACAACATGAAGGCTGTCTTGATTGGGATGAAGCCGCCCAAAAAGAAACCCCTCAAAGATAAGAACCACGATGATGAGCCCACTGCTGGTACCCACCTAAGCCGGTCCCTGAACAAGAGAGTGGAGGAGCTGCAGTACATGGGGGATGAGTCTTCCGCCAACAGTTCCTCCGACCCTGAGAGCAATCCCACCTCTCCTATGGCTGGCCGGCGGCATATGGCCGCCAACAAGCTCAGCCCTTCTGGCCACCAGAATATCTTCCTGAGCCCAAATGCCTCCCCATGCTCAAGCCCTTGGAGCAGCCCCTTAGCCCAGCGCAAGGGTGTCTCCAGAAAATCTCCCCTGGCTGAGGAAGGCAGACTAAACTTCAGCACCAGCCCCGAGGTCTTCCGGAAATGCATGGATTACTCTTCGGACAGCAGTGTCACCCCCTCGGGCAGCCCCTGGGTTCGCAGACGGCGCCAAGCAGAGATGGGGACACAAGAGAAAAGTCCGGGGGCAAGTCCCCTGCTGTCTCGAAGAATGCAGACTGCAGATGGGTTACCCGTAGGAGTGCTGAGGTGGCCCCGAGGCCCCGACAACACTAGGGGCTTCCATGGCGGACATGAGAGAAACCGAGCCTGTATATAATACCTTCTATTTTTAATACCGGCTCCGCTAAAAACAAACTTTGTTTTCAAGGTCTTCACAAGTAGCTAGCATGACAGAGAATGGAACTCAGTCCCCTTAGGAAGTTTTTGTATCCGTGTAGACCTTGTAATTTATATATTTGTAAGGTATACAAATTGTGATGTGTGCCATGGTTTTAAGATCATCTTCTGCCTGGGGCTTCTTGCTCCCGGCATGACCGCTGTTTTGACAATGCCTGGCATGTGTTGAGTATGATGGCTCTCTGGGAAAATGTAGTAGTGGGTTTGTCTGCCGGGACTGGCTTTTTCCTGCAATGACTGAGCTATCTGTCCTTGTCGGGCCATGCAAGGGCTCCTGAGACCTCAAAGGAGTTTTTGCTCAATGGCAAATCCTTCAGGCAATAGCATGGTGTCTTATAGGACTGTCTATTCCCTGTGACGTAAATAAAGAATTAAACACCCACTGGGAGTCCCATATCTGAGGTCACAGGACAAGGAACCTAACAAGGACGTATTTTCTCCATCTACCCTACAGTGTACCCCCGTGCAGGCCTGGACTCAGCTGGAGAATCCTGGCAGCCTAGGAGGTCTGTCCTCACAATGAGTCTCACGGAACAGGCAGCTTTAGTTTCTGCTGATGTCCACACAGCATCCCAGACCATCAGCATTGGCATCACCTGAGAACTTGCTAGAAACACGCATTTCCAGGCCAAATGATTGAGAAACTGCCAAAGGAGGAATCCTCGGTGTCCTTTTAAAGATTTGTTCTTATTTAATGTGTGTTTGTGTGTGTGTGTGTGTGTGTGTGTGTGTGTGTAGGTGTATGTCATGTGTGTGCCCGAAGAAGCCAGAATGGGGCATCAGATCCACTGAAGCCAGGGTTCGGAGTATGAGCTGCACAGTATGGATGCTAGGAACTGAACTTGGATACTCTAGAAGAGCAACAAGTGCTCTTAACCCTGAGCCATCTCTCTGGGACCAGAGTTCGAAAATCCCTGCAGATGATTCTGATATGTGCTAGTGTGAAAATCCTTGGGGTGACCATAGCTGCAGGACCCCATGTCAGCCAGTCTGACCCCATGGCTCTCACTCTTATTCTGTGACTTGGGCGTGGCATTAGGCTCCCTGAGCCTCTGCTGTCCTTGAGGAATATAGTCAGTTCTCCATAAACATTGACTCTATTTCTTCTCACCTGGCTTAGTGTCTGTTACCGTCCAAAAGCATTGTGGTGTACCACACCCTGGCTAGAGTCCAGTGTTGCCTTATCCATGGGCCGTGTTGGGGATTTAAAATTTGTTAAGAATCAAGTGGTGTTTGTTTGCCAGGAACTTTGGTAAAAGCTTTCCTGTGCTTTATCTCAGGTAAATCATCCCAATACCAGTAAAAACAAAAGTTTCACACACACACACACACACACACACACACACACACACATATTTAAACCAGATTTAAAGAAGAAAAAAGACCGCATGTGGGAAGCTAACCTGTGTCTGGGTTGATGGTTCTGGGGTTTATTTTGTTGCTGCTGATGATGGTGGTAGTGGTGATAATGAGGCTGGTAGTGGTGGTGGTGTTTTCTGAGACAGTCTTGCCATGTATCATTGGCTGATCTCAAGCTCCCAATCTGTTGATTGAGGTTTCTGTCCCACCCGGTTCCCCAGCCATTTAGTCCCAAAGAAATACACCAAGGTCTACATTAATTAATAACTTATTGGCCCAGTAGCTCAGGCTTCTTATTAATTAGTTCTTATAACTCATATCAGTCCATAATTCTTGTCTGTATGCCATGTGGCTTGGTAACTTTTTTGGTGAGGCAGTCAACATCTTGCTTCCTTTGTGTCTGGGTGACGACTGCAGACTAAAATTTTCCTCTTCCCAGAATTCTTGTTGACCCGCCTATACTTCCTGCCTGGCTACTGGCCAATCAGTGTTTATTTAAAATACAAGTGACAGGGTACAGACCATTGTCCCACAGAACCCTCCCCTCATTTTTTTAAACAAGAAATCTGAATCAAATCTCCTTTGTTTAGTTTTTTTCCTGACCATTATCCATAACAACTTGTAACCAACATTCTAAACAAAGGCAAACATCCAGATTAACCCTTTAGCCTCAGTCTAGGGAGGCTACATATGTACCATCACCCCAAGCTAGCATTAATTTTTTTTGGTTTATCAACATCATTATCATTATTATTATGTGTGGGTGTATATAAGATGTGTACTTTCACATTTAGGTAAAGCCGGGGAGGGAGGGAGGGAGGGAGGAGGAAGAAAGAGAGAGAGAGAGAGAGAGAGAGAGAGAGAGAGAGAGAGAGAAGGTCATATGAGTTATAGGTGTGAGCTTCAGGAGTCAGTTGTCCCCTTTCACTGGGGACTCCTGGGGTCAATCTCAGGTCATCAGGCTTGCATCCCTAGCATTTTTACTCTCTGAGACATTTTGCTGGCCACACTCAATGGTTTTGACCTTGCTGAGCCTTGCCATCTACATCCATGTAACACAGTCACGAGTTTGTGAGTTTGGCAGCATCTCCATCAAGCTCCTATTCTGGCAAATTTACACATGATGAGGCGGCAGAGGTAGGAAAACAACGCTTACCTCAAGCAATTGTGGAAATGGATCAAAGACAACTTTGGGATGTTTTTGTTTTGAGACAGGCTGTCCTCAAAATCACCATGTAGCTGAGAATTAATGACTTGAACTTCTGGTCCTTTTGCCTCCATCCCCAGAGTGCTGGGGTGCTGGGATTACAGGCACACACTACCACCACATGTAGCTTTTTGCACAAACCCAGGACGTGGTGCATTCTGGGAAAGCACTCTGGCCAACTGAGCTCCATTCCCCACCCCAGCAGTGCATTTTAAATTGCACAGGTGTACCCAAATCTGCAGATGACTACGTGGTTGGGAAGGGGATGGATATATTGTTGTTCTTTTCCATTGGGACCACCAGCCCACAAATAATGACATGGAGACTTGTTATTAATTATAAAAGTTTGGCCATTAGGTTAGGCTTGTCCCAACTAGCTCTTATAACCCAAATTAACCTGTTTCTATTAATCTACATTCTGCCATGTGGCTCAGTTATCCCTGCTCTGTACCATATGTCCAGCTTCTTCAGAGACTCCTGGTGAATCCCTGCTTCTCTTCTTCCCAGAGTTCTCTCTCTCCCCAGAAATCCGCCCATTCTCTCCTGCCTAACTGCTGACCATTCAGCTCTTTATTCAACCAATCACAGTGACACATCTTCACAGAGTGTAAACAAATATTCCACAGCGGTATTCCCTTTAAGGTCCAGAGTCAGTATGGACAATACCTGCAGGAACTAGATTCTCCACTTTCCGGGCTACCTGCTGCAGCTGGTGTCTAGACCCCGGACTGTGAGACCTGACCTTGTGAGGGATCATAGCCCCTTCCAGTCACTCCCTGTGCCACATTCCCCAGCCCTACCCCCATCACTTGACCATTGCTGCTGCCCGATCCGTCCTTGTAACCACCCTCTGTGCTCCCTGGCTGTCAGTCTGTCTGGCCATCTCCAGCCCTTCCCTTCAGGGCCTCCTGTATGCTGTTCTACCCCCATTATGCTCCCACAGGGTCACTGGACTTGATTTTAGGTGAACACATGTGCACCACAGCTACTTTTAAGACCTTCATCTTTATACGTGAGCACAGGTGGACTTTACTTCCTCTCTACGGAACTACCCCGTGGATGTTCCACTACGGCTCTGAATGTGGGGGTCGGCAGATCTGAGTGCTAGGCTTGGGCTTTTCCAGTAACTAATTGACCCCCAAAAATTTCATTTCTGCCTTTAGTTCATGTTTCCTCCGTGCAGCCAGTAGAGGACAATCAGGTAGATGCCCCTGAAATAACTTGAGTGTCTTATAGATCTAGTTACATGTCCTCTCTCCAGGCACCTCCAAAGACAGCCTGCGCCTTTTCCCAGGAGTTCTAACCTTGGTTCCAGCTGACAGCACTTACAGAGCCCATCCTTAGGAGGTCTGGATTACCTGGCTCTGGTGTGAGGTCCCTGGGTGACTGTAGAGGGTAAGTAGTATTGACATCCGTTCCTCCCCTTCCTTCCAGGCCTGGTCTTGGTCTCCTCTGTAGATGTCACCACAGTCACAATGTGCCAGAGGCCTGAGCGCTTCGATGGACCTGCTCTGTCTATCTCTCTGGCCAGACCTTCAGCTGGGTCATGGCCTTCCTGTTTGTTAGCACAGCTGGCTTTTCTTGAACAGCTTGGCCAGGAAACTCAGCCAATTGTATTTTTACAGATGTTTCGTTCTTTTTAATGAACACCAGCTCCTCCTGCTCTGTGTCGGCATGTGGATTCCCCTGGGCATGTCCTGTTCAGGGGCTGGCAGAGCAACAACATACTACATGTGTCCAAATGACCACCTCGGGACCCGCCCTGCCTTCGCTCCCGTGCCTACCTGCTCCTGCTCTTGACCTCCCGTCTCAGCAATTGATGTCACCCTTTCCAGTCACAGAGACTGGAAATAAGGCCCTGCAGCCAATGTGCAGAAAGTTGGTTCTGGGTTCAAATCCAGACGAGTTTGCTTTCTTGTGGCCTGGTTCCCTTGGGTGGAGGGCAGCAATGACAGCCTCCTGTGGCTTGTTTGAATCTGATGCGTCAGAACAGAAAACTGGCTCAAAGTCAGTGCCCCAAGGATTCCAGGCAGCCCTCCGTGTGCCTTCTCTCCCAGCTCCCAAATTCAGCCAAGATGCCAGAGCCATCCGTGGAGCTCCCAGGGGCCTTTTGCACCACCTCAATTCAGTATTAATCACTCTCCTTGGATTTCTAATGTCTGCATGTCCCAGATCTCTCTATAGTATTATGAACATGTGTGTGTGCACCTGTTCATGTGGGGAATGCACATGTGTGTATAGGTGGGGTATGTTTGTGTGTGTGTGTGTGTGTGTGTGTGTGGTCTAGAGAAAACTTCATGTTGTTTCTCAGGTCTGGCACTAACCAAGGAAGTGAGGTTGGTTGGAGAGTGAACCCCAAGTCCACCTGCCTCTACCTCCACAGTGTTGGTATTACAAGCATGTACCACCAAGCCTGGATTTTTATTTTATTTTTTATATAAATTCTGGGGGTTGAACTCAGGTCCTCAGTCTGTCCGGCGAGCACTCTGCTGACTGGGATGTCGTCCCAGCTCTGTGTCTCTAGGACTCTTTATTTCTCTTACCTCTTACCATCAAATTCATCTTACTAATACAATTCTGATTACTTAACTTCTCTATTTTTTTGAAGCGGCCTATTTTTTTTTTATGTACTTGCTTTATGGGAGGTGTTTTGTTTTCTTTTTCTACAAAAAGGCCAAGCTGTCTGGCCACCCCCACCAACTCCCTGCCATGCCGCTGTCTTGTGGTAAGACTCTGGATGTTACTTGGTGGATCCACATCCTGTCAGAACCCAGGGTGACGTCCTGAGCTGGCACCAGGCTCTGTGTCCCCAAACATGCCCCTGTCTGTGTCTCCTTTGCTGTCACACCGCCCCAGGGTGTGGCTAGCTTGAAAACAGCCCCGCTCGGCGTCTGTCACATGAGACTGAAACATGCCAGCAAGTCCTCTTAGCAGATAAATTGCTCATCCGTGATTTTTTTACTTCTTTCCCATAAGTCATAAAATAACTTTGTTTTGGTAGTTTTAATCCCTGTTTCTTGTAAAATGCTCTCCAGAAACAAACAGCAGAGCTCTGGGGCAGGAAGAATGGTGGCCACAGGGAATGCCAGCTTATGCTCAACAAGGATACAGATCCTAGTGCAAATTCTGGTGCATGCCACCCTCAGGAAAAAAAAAATCTGGAGGCTTCAGCCTCCCTCATTCTTCCTCATCGTGTGTGCTGCCAGCAGCCCACTGTGACTTGGTGAGGTGGGAGCTGACAGGAGTCCTGATGGACACCAGGAGACCTGGGATCAGTGTTCTGGTTGGGGCATCCAGTGTGCGTATATAAAAAGCCCCGTGTAAGCTAGTGATCGTCACTTGGGCCAGTCTCTAGTTAACCGACTGTTTGCACACCACCCCGGAATGGAGCCAGCTGTAAGACAAGCAGAAGCAGGGTACAA